AGTTAACAGCCTTTCATAATCAAAGACTAAACAGCCGTCGATTTTTCTTCTAAAATGAATGATCGTAAATGCACAAAAAGTGTTCGCATGATTGACCTTGCTTATTATTCATATTCAGAGGATTATAAAACTACAACGTACAATTTGAACACAAGAGAGAAATGAAGATGATACTGAGGCATATATCTGGATCGCTGAATATACTTGAACACATTGCTGAGCACGGTATGCGTTTACTGTTTGGACTCATCTTCTACTGAACCACAAGACTCTGACAGTGCCCTACGCTATTGGGATGCCATCCTCATCGACCTTAAGCAGCTACGTTTGCTCCAGTTCTTCATTTGATATAAATGACAGTACAGTATTGCATTAAGGTATGATACGGAACCTTTAGAATTAACAGGCACTCCCGAGATCATATCGAATGATTCAAGCAGCAGGATCGAGCATCCTCAACGCCGAAGGCTGTTATCCAGATATCAGTATTGGATTCGCAGGAGTGAATTTTCGAGATCAGCATAGCATATGAACAAACCTACTGATAAAGATGAAGACGAGGATTAACATCTTAAAAGCAATGGTTATCACCGTTATGTTTTACGACCTCAAAATGGCTGTGATCCTGAACTGCTAACTGGACCACTTACAGCAACATTGCCTGTGCAACATCCTCAATATTTGGTGATATCATCAAACCACATGCTGAACACCATTATATTGAGGAAGTTGTCTGAAGAATTAAGAGAGTGGCTGCTTTTGCAGTTCGATAAAGCAACTCAGAAAGCAAATATGACAAGAACCTCATATGAAAACATAGCCTCCGTGATCCGGGGTAGCTAAAACATGGTACGTTCAAAATTAAGCCGGCATTCATAAAAAGCTCAATTTCCGATACGCGATTTTCTCGGCGTAGGTGCCAGACCCGCTTGCTTTTAATCACAAGGGAGACCATTTCAGCACGCCATGGCTCCATTGTGTTTGAGCACCTGTAGTGCGTTGGATGCAGAACCTGAATTAGACTGAACAATTAGTGTGCAATTCGGCACTTAACTCTATCAATATTCGTAGGGAGATACAAACACAAAACACAACCCGCATGTTTTGGGGTAGCAATCAAACAGCACCTTGTCAGCTCCAGATCTGTTTCGCTGAAATGCAAAATTGCTAAGCCTATGTAGCCCAACCTATGACGAGTACAAATAACCGAAATATCAACGGCATGATAAGGATATAACAAAAGCATTTGTCTGTTCAGATGAATATGACGTCAAAATATAAGTAGGGGCATATTACTGTGCCTGTTATTTCATGTCATCATCATTTAGATGAGATAAAGGATGGCCTTTTGTTTTCATCAAAGTCTGACGTCATCCGTCATAGATTCTTCAGCTATTCCATTCGTTTTGCTCGCAAATTGTCATTTTCTTTCCAGGAGATTTGTGACGCATTATCTTGGGACGATTTGATAATGAAATATTATCTTCTGACACATTTGCCTTAATGGCGTAAAGAGATCTGTCCATCTCCATTTATCACTGCCGTGTTGTACGACAATTTCAGAGTTCATGCCAGGTCTTCAAGCTGAGGAAAATACCATAGCTTTGTTTTGGCTATGGTCCCCTCTGATTGTTCTGCCACTCCCAACGACAGAGTAGCCGAAGATAGATTTGTGACAAAAAATGCTGTTTAATAACTGCGGACACTTGGATAGTACGCTGGACTAAGCACAGTCAAAATACATTTGTCAACATTGCATAAAATAAATAAGAATTTAGGTATGCTCACATCTGTATGTGAGTTACAAATCACTTTTACGTACTTTCACTGTATATGTTTTTGTTTACTTACTCGAGTACCAAGCAAAGATATTTATGTTTATTCCACCATATTTTTAAGTACAGTGTTTTATCATCAATGTACAAGGAGTGTGCCGCCTGCCAATGTGACAATATATATTTCGTATCACTCGCATCGTACTGTAGTAGAATAGATGCAAAACATTCTGCATATTTAAAACTAGAGTAAAATATTGCAGTATAACGTATAAGAACAAAATTGATGTTCGTCAGGGATCCTCCTTCGGTAACCGCTGTTTAGGAACGCCTGAAGAAGATGTTGGATTTCACTGTCCAGGCAAAACTGATACTGCAAGTCTCTTGTGCTCGCAAGCGCACGTTCTTCACCACCTTCCTAAATAATCAAGGAAGAACACATGACGCCAGATGTATGTATCGATTAAGAATGTATTGGTTTCTGAATTTTACTGGAAACCTGAAATTCGAATGATGACATCATCTTCACCAGCACGTCCCGAAAGGATATGGTGCGGATAACCTGCACGTCAGTAGTAAAGTGCATTCGGCCATTTTTTTCCTGTGCAATTATGTAATTCACCTAACATTCCAACTTTTTCAGTTCGTCCTCATTTAGTTAGAATAATAGGAAAATGACATCAACGAATCAGACATAGAACAATGGTCGGAATTCTGGCGGGCATTCCTTAAGGGCGTTCACCTCCAGGTGGTTAATATAAAATCAGCTAAAACAACATTAACCGTGTATCCCATAGGAATGCCGCCCGAATTTGAAACTGGTGCCGTTCATTACAAGGCCAAAGATTGTCTTTAAATCATCCACGTAAAAATTGCAATTTCTTTACACGCTTTCAGATGCCCTCCACTTGTTCACCGTGTTCTTGAACATGTCGAAAGGAGCAGTGGCGTTTAACGAAGCCATAAAGCAATCTTGATGATCATATCCCTTCATTTTGCATAGAAACTTCTTTCCATCTTTTGCTCTGTAAGTTTTTTCCTTAATGGCAGGATTCAATAATAGGTCTAGCACTTTGGCAATCTGTTATATTACTGTTCCCCTGGCCGGTATGATAACACGCAACGGGTTGTGAGGCCTATGAACCTTTACTTATCGATAAGGTCTTGAGTTTGCGCACTAATCAATGGTAGGTAGGATCTTCTGTACACCTTATTTGGTGACGACCTTCGAATTTTGCAAATTCCTTAGAACTCCAGCAGTTTCCGGCACGTTGTCTCGTCATGGTAGGCATCCCTTCGCTATTCGTGAAGTGACCCAGCATTCTCGTTTCATACTTTTTCTGTTGGTATCACCACTGTTTTCGCTTCTTTTTCAGTACAAAGAATCATTATGCTGTTAAAATTGATGTTAATAATTCAGTTTCACAAAGATATCGTCCATAGCAATGGGTGAGAACCTCACGTTGAAGAACATTCGTGAGACTCTGGTCGAAACACTGATATTGTCTGTCACTCATTAGGCAACACGCATTGCGTTCCGTTTAAATGAACTGTTTTTGAAACCTTTTGTCAGTTAAGCATAAACGCTGTTGGAAGGAATGACTTCAAGCCGCCTACTCGTACAGGCATGAGGTGTCAGAGCAAGAAATCTTGCAGAGAACTCAGTTTTATCAGAGAGGCAACTCGGAACAACGCTGACCAATGGCGTCACAACAGCAAACCTCATGACCTCGTACTAGCATCACTGGCAGAAGGGGCAGTTGCGATATTAACGGTGCGTCAGTGCCGGCGAGATGCGGTTAAATAATCCGTCTGTGAGTCGCGCTGGCGTTTGTTGGCACAGCTTGATAGTGAAAAGTCAAGCACACCGAGGCGAACGTGTGTCATACACAGCACAAGTCTGACGAGGATAGTCGTCGACACGGCAGCACCGATTTTGGTGTCAGAAAAAGTGTGTCTGAAGTTACCCGTGAAGAAAGGTCCGCAAAATGACTGCAAAATTATACGGTAGTTCTTCGTGCACTGATGCTCAGGAAGGCGACGTGGCATAGCGTTTTGATGGACGATGGTCAAGACCCGTCGTTTGTGTCGCGGGACTATGCGTTGAGCAACTGTGGTATGTGGCAGGTGAAAGCGGACGTTCGCAAACGCGAACAGGTGGAATGCGGCATTGGCACAGCGAGGAGTCAGAAAATCAATTCATCGATTCCGTCTCCTGATGTGGAGGCAACGAGGTCCTTGGCGAAATCCAGAACGGTTAGCGGCCGGCGAGCGGAGGCGAGATGCTCAAACCCGTTGCCGCCAGGACGGTCTGTGGACTTCGTGCATTTCCCGCAACCCTCCGAAGAAAGGCTGCCTTCAGAAGAACGGTACACAGGAGAGCGTGCCACGTTCGTGCCACAGCAGCGACATCAGTCGTCGTACCCTGAGACTAAACATCGGCCCGATGACCAAATGGCGCAACGATCCAGTGGTCAGACCGGCGCTGTCCGGCCTTCGAAGCCGTCGTCCACTCCCTCGGCCGCTGGACTTTATTCTGAACCGATGTACGCACAGTTCAGACGAACACCAGGTTCGTTACGGCAGCAGAGTACAGGCCGCAACGTAATACGAGAAATCGAGGTCCGCCCGGTTCACATCGAGATTGGAGCTTCTTCCTCTGCCTCTTCGTCGTCCAAGCGCCCGGATGGAGTCCTGTCGTTGAACGTGCCGATACAGAAAGA